GTTTTGAATCGAAATCGATTCTGAATCGAATTGTGAGACACCCAAAGATTCCCAGCCCTACTAAAGACCGCTACCACTAGCCTGCTAACAAAACAATGCAGCTCGAGACATGGACAATTTTGTCCGCAGCTTGAGCTAAGCTCTTTACTAATGTGAGTCCCAATTTGATAACTCCTTTGTGCAAATGCGAGTAGAGAGGGGTTGGAGGTGTGTCGCTATAGGAGAGCGGAGGATTCAGTGTGGCGGAGGTGTCACCAAACAGCAGTTTGTTTTGGTATTATGTTGGTGCTCAAGGGCGACATCTCCTGAATCAAAAAGTTGCACATGCTTCCTTAAAAAAATGAATTCAGTTATAACTGATATTCCCTTACATTTTTAAAAACTGAAAATGTTGCTTCCTTGTTTACAAAGTTTAAGTATGTAAATTCCGCCACCAGAGAGCCCTCAATCAATACAATAACAAAAGATGAGGTAAGAGGCTGGCGGGGAATCATGGGAGTTCTCTGTGCTACTTAAGCCCCCCACGATGAAAAGCAGATACACAACCCCTCCCTCAAAAATGCAAACATTATCATTAAAATCCATCTATCACTCCTATTCACAGTGTCCCCGCTCTCCTCTCTTTCCATTCCTGATTTCTGTATTCATTCACTTTCAGTATTTGTTAAGAAACCGGTAAAAGTGGAAGCAGCAGCTGTCCAAACAGTGATGGCCCCTCGCTCAATGTCTCTGTGAGTGTGTATGGGTGTGTGTGTGTGTGTGTGTGTGTGTAAGAGTTTGAGTGTGTGAACCCCCCGTGTGCCTTGTGTTCTTTATGCTACATTTTATCACAGTGTGTTTCAACTGTATTCCCCCCAGTGTTGCCATGGTTCCAAAAACAAGACAGTGAGTCATTGCAAAACCAAACGTGATCAATGTGGAGTATGTTTTCACTGATGGGTGTCGCGGCACCCAATCCAATTTATTTTATCCACCAAATTCGATAAGTACCAGCATTTGGCAGGTGGTGGGTGCTAATTTTAGGCGCATGTCATGCTTGACATAGTCAAGTCAGGAGGAGTCCTGCAGCATAATGTTGTATTAATTTATTTATCATTCCAAGAATTTCATTACACCTATAAAGTGTCACACATTGCATCCATACGCCCCTGGAGGTGGTGATGGGGAGAAGGATGATACAGAAACTGTTGAACATTATGGACAATAACATGCATCCCTTACACGATCTTGTGTGTGAACAAAAGAGTGTTTTTAGAGAGAGGCTACAGCAGCTAAGCTGCAAAAAGGACAGATTTAAAAATACTTTTTTACCTACTGCAATTGCACTTTATAACGACTCCCCTTTAAGTAAGGACAGAAGACATTTAAACTTTTAAACTTTAGCCTGAGCTGCATATATCAAACTGTATATTTACACAGTTGACTGCTTTTTTATAATAATTCTTTATTTATCTATCATACTATGCACTGGCAGAGCTAGTGTTTTGTACTGTTATCTATGAGTAACAGCTACTTATGCACATGGACCATCCAGAACACTTTTTATCCTGGCTGTATTGTGGGCTCATGTTTTTTGTATGAGTGGGATATGTCTGTATATATGTGTTGTGTTGTGTGTTTGTATCTATGCTGCCTGCTGGAACACCTCAATTTCCCTGCTGGGATGAATAAAGTATATCTTCTCTTATCTTATCTATACATCCCCCGGTGTATGGGGTTTTGCAAGACAAAATGTGGTCGAGGAACACAGGGTATGTGTTGTAGTGTTGTCCAATTATTGCTATTTTGCCACACTATGATATATGTCTGTACTCTGGACCGGGGAAACTGGCACCTTGAGCCCCTATCTCTCCCTCTCTCTGTGCATTCACATCATATTACTGCTTGTCACTGTCTATAAATCTTAGTTAATAACCACAAAGAAGGAAAATTCCTGGGAGTTCCTGAGGTTTCTTGGGATTGTTGGTGAGGACGGCCTGCTGCTATGGACCCCCCCTCCCCTTCCATGCCAGAAGCCCAGGAGGCCTTGCCCAGGCAGTAGAAGCCAGGCTCTCGAGTAGACGAAGCTCCCCCAAACTTTAGCGAAGTGATGAGGCACTACAACCACCTGAAGTCCCTGACGCCCAGCCACTACCATCGGACTTTGTCGTCCCTCAACCACGGCTCAATAACCAGCCTCAGTCTTTGGACTGTATTGTCCCATCCCCTGCCCAAAACCCAGCCACCCCATCAGACTGTCGTTCCAACAACCACCGCCGTCCTCATTCATGCACGGCTTGCTCCGACCTCCACCTCTGCGGTAAGGAAGTGCGGACAACAGGAACGTGAGGAATACAAAGGAGAAATCCTTCCTGCATATTATTCTTTAGTAAAAATGTCTAAAGATAACACTTGTTATGAATTGGCGCAATACAAATAATGATTAATTGATTGACTTTGCCGCTATGTAGGTGTCTGCAATATTAAAAATACCAGTGCAAAAATGATGATTTACCAGCAGGGGCATAGCCAGATCAGCGAAGTAGACGAAGGCCGCTCCAAGTGTGAATCCCCAGCCACTGGCATGAAAGCAAACGAGCCGTATTTCCCAGACTCTTCTGCCATTTCAATTGCTGGTGCAAGCAATGACCAATAGGAAGCAGCAAGCATCACCTAAAACATTGAAAGAAAAGGGAGAAGGATAGGGAAATACAGAAGTTACTGTCAAATGTGGTGTATAAGGGTACTTTTAATACCTGCATCCTTTAAAGCAGTGCAGCCAGAATAAATGCTGAGACATGCGCCATCATGACCGCATGTTCAGCTGCCACCAACATCCACTGCACGCTATCTTATATCGTTAAAAATTTGCCCCCATTCATGGTGTATTGCAAGCAGCCGCTTTACTGCTCGAAACGTGGTGGGAGGACAACGTAGGTTCTTCTTAATCATAAGATCATGATCATGCATTGAAAGAAAAGACCAGGACCCCCTCTTCAAGAGGACTTTAGGGTCAAGTGTACTGGGATCCGGGCCCAGGTTAGTGTGAAGCCACCCTAAGCCCTTACCTGTTTGAACTTTGGTTCTATATTTAATTTTGAGCTGTTTTAAAGTCGTTCATTCAAACAAAGAAACACGTGGGTCCGTAGAAAGACATTTTACTCACCCCAGCTGCAAAGCCCAAACTTCCATCCAAGATTCGCTTCTGAAAAGGGTAGAACAGAAGAGGGGTTGTAAAGTTTTACTTTAAAGAAATCTTCAAGGCTTGGCAATAGAAGCTTAATGACAACAGAAACTTTTTATACAAGTATATCTGATCAATTTGTATAAATGTCTCAATTTCTGAAAAAACAATACATTGAGAGATATATTTTCTTATTATGCCAGATAAAATCAAGTATTGTTATGTAGATATAAACAGTTAGCATAATAACTTAATATCATAATTTCTCATGATTGGAAGTTTAAGTCTATATTTGAACAAAATCTTCCTTTTGTTTATATCATGTTTAGTTCGGGACTCTCCATATTATTCTGAAACAGCAGCAATGAAAAGAAGCGAGACAACGGGTACAATTCATTTATCAGAGGTATTTTATCGAAAGCGACGCACATCAGAGACGAAGTACAAAAAAGTAAGGATCTAGAAAGGCAACAACATTAGTGAGTGCAAACGAACAGCTTTAAGTCTGATCAGACAAACGGGTGCTGTCAGGAAGTGACCAGAGGCCGAGCACGACATCGACAGCAGTTCTTGAGAGCTCTAATAAGCATCAAACCCATCCTAAATAATGTCATTATCAAACAAAACCATCAACATCATCATCACCATTATCGTCATCCATAAGATCATAAAGTGCAAAGGTATTCATAAAGAGCTGGGTCTTTAGCTTTTTCTTAAAGGTGCACAGGGACTCTGCAGAATCAAATGAAGTTTAGTAATTCGTTCTCTAGTTAGAGAGTCAGGACCCTGTTGTGAAGGTTTGATCAGATGGCTTTCACTGGCAGAGCGTAGTAGGCGCACAGCGCCTTTTGTCTTGGCCAAAAAGTTTCACTACAACACACCACGTATGTTCTGCACATATGTGTGAGAGGCAATAACGCTCCATGCCAGCTGGCGGCGGTAATCTGTAATCGTCATTTCAAAAAGGGGAAACCGGGAGAGGACGAGGAAGAACGCAGAAATATAAATCATTGTTAGGATACGAGAAGACAATTTTCACACCGCTGTCGCTAAACACTCGTAATATAGATAATTCTAATCAAGAATAATGTCTGATAAAAAGTAAAAAATTGGCGCTGGCGTGGTCAGCCCTTGGTCTTTTAATAGTGGAACAAAAATAGAAGAAGCGCTTCCGTATTTCTTCCCGTACACTCTCCTGTTTCGCTTAGCTGAACAGCCTATCAGAGAGATTCCTACTCCCAACCACGACACGCCGATTCAACATGTGGAATCGGCCACAAAAAGGCCATCTGGGGCCAACAGGTGGCGACGGAGCAGGACACACTGCTGGTGTGTCAGGGCCTTCAGGGCCCTGTTGTAAAGGTTGGATCAGACGCCTTTCATTGGCAGATTGTAGTGTGCAGTATATTTGCATCTAACTTTTGCCATGACTTTGTTTAAAACAAAATGTAATGTCTTCACTCAAGCCCAGCAGTTTGGTTATGATGGGTTTACACGTTACCTGTCGACTGGAGAAGACAAACACTAGGGCTGCTCCAGCAGCAGTCAGACCCCAGGTGAACAGAGTTCCAAGCAGGGCCTGTGTAAAAGGGCTGTAGCCTTCAATCATGGTGCAGACCTGGCCAAACAACACAGGTACACCAATACTTAACATGTGGCATATTCATATCATTTTTTTTATTTGTTTATTTAAAAAAAAAAAAATCAACAAATGAAAATACAGAATAATACAGAAATACAGAACATGTCTAATAATATTTAGAGTCAGACATAAATGGACGAATAATTACAAACACATTCATGAACAAAAAATCGCTCATCAGTCGGGCCCTAAAACAAATATGACAAACAACACATGATCAACATTTGTCCCTTTAAGCTCTTAGATAAGTGGTTACACACACACACACACACACACACACACACACACACACACACACACACACACACACACACACACACACACACACACACACACACACACGTTAAAATCCGTTTGCCCAGGTTTTTAACATCCTGGACTTTCTCAGGTAGGTGAGAATTCCCCCTTTGGCTAAAATTGTCTGGGGTTAACGTATAACTTCTTAATGAGGAGATGGAGCAGTGTGTTCTCACGCAGTAGATGGTGTTGAAACAATGACAGTAACTGCACATCACACATTTTTAGATTGATATTAAGGCGACTGGTTTGCATTGAATTGCAATACATGCATCCAAAAATGTGTTTACTTTAGCCTCGTTTTTTTAATTCATTACAAGATAGGCCTTTTTAACATTGATAATTAGTGGCCACTGGGTCCCACTTGACAATTAATGGAAATTATAAGATGCTAAAACATAGTGAAACAGCTGCAGACCCAATGAGAAAGTCATATTGTAAACAGCAGCAATATCTACCATCAAACAAGCCTAAACACTTTCAGGTATTACACCCACAGCTAAGATATTCCTCGTTGTGGTTTTTATTTTTGCAGACAGTGTTAGCTGCAAACATTACATTTTGTTGTATAACTGTATTTTCGTTTAACAAGTTAAAAACATGATCACACATTACAAAAGACAAACACAACTGACGCCATTAACTAACTCTGTAAATATTTGTTAACCGGCTTTCTAACGCTGTCGATGTTTTTGCACATATTCTAATAAACCTTAAATCTCTCTTTTTGAAATGTTGAAACGATATGTAGTCGTTTTAAAAAGTTTCATTAACTTAAGCTTATATTTTGGAGTCTTTAATGAAATACTTGCAGGTTTACTCACTTGGTCAAGTGGAACCTCTGCTTCTCTGTATTTACTTCCTACTTCCCGGTACACGTGTCTACTGGTGCATTCAAGTGCTGTCGGACATATCGGAAAAATGATTCTCCGAGTTTTAAAATCCTTATGAACGCCTGCTCAAATCGGAGCGACTACGACGGAGGATTAAGGCCAAATTAAAGAAAAAAAAATGTCTAAAATTTAGATTGATTAATGTCGCTATTTTAGTCTATATCAGAAGAGCAGCAGCAGCCTGATAAACGTGGAGCATCTTGTTATATTTGGTAAAGGTTTCACAAATAAGTAAATAGGCGACTTCCTTGTGTAGTCGGTAAAAAACAGTTAGCCTAGTTCAAGATATGTTTTCACTTCCACTTGCAGGGACTTGTATCTTTAAAATGATGTATGAACAGGACACAAACTGGCTCTGCACATAACCTAGACACTTTAAAGAGGTCATATTATGCCCTTTTTGGGGTTCGTATATTTAATCTATGTACCGACTAAAGTATGTTCACAACGGTTAAAGTTCTAAAAAAGTGTCTGTTTTCATGAACTGCCGCTCCATGCACCGGCTCGCTTCTAGCTAACCCTACTCTCTAACGCTCTGAAGTGCCCACGTTCAGAGTCCCCACGTGTGCCAAGTCTGATCTGATTGGTCGGCCTGTCGGCTCTGCGGTAATTGGTCAGTCGCTCAGCACGGTTCTTGGAAATGTCACGCCCCTTTTACCATATTGGGAATGCAGCTACTTTGTCTCCGAAGGGAGCAAAAACATTAGCACCTTAGCACTACTGTGCTACCGCAGGCTACGGCATATCGTGGGCGAGCTTCAGAAGTTAATGGGCGTGCAACATGAGCTGCTGGGCTTGCCACAACGAGCCAATGGGCTTAGATCAGTGATATGACACTGACAAGACGTCACAATGGCACATTTTTTTCAAGGGGGGCTAGAACCAGAGCCGTGAAGGCCAGCGGGGGAATGGGGAGGGGGGGGGAAGTGCACGGTACGATAACATTGCCAGTGTGACCGCGCCCTGACTTGGAGGAAGTTGTGTCTGCAGAGGAAAAGGCTGTAAGAGTTCTCCTTTCATCATTTTCGTGCAGCGTGGTCTCAAACTCGTAAATTTTACAAGTTTAATCTCGTGGCCCTAATCCTCCGTCATAGAGAGACAACTCGCAAACACGGCAAAGAATTACAGTACCCGACTTGACGTCATATTCATCATAACATGGGGGGGCAAAATATGTTTTTTTAATGCGTTTGATTAATTCACGTATTGAATAGCAACTTTTTGTTGACATATTTATTTAACGAGAAACATAAGGATAAAGCGCTTAACATCTTTTTCTATTTTTTTTATGATTGGATAAACTAGCCCACACCCCACTGCTAATTTTCAAAGTGACTAATAGCTATATCTTAGAAAAGCCCTGTGAAAAAGAAAAAAATGTAAATAATTTAATCAGATATTGATGTTACCCTATCTGCCCTTAAGAAGACTTTATTCAAATCTAATAACTGACATTGATTCAAGAAATTGGGCTGGGTAGTTTTTTTCCTAGAGAGGTGCTTATTTATATAATTTCATCGCGGCACATGATTTTAAACTCAGCATGACTTAGTTAAGTAGGCTCACTAGATATTAGTTAAACCACATGTTATTTCTGTCAACAACAACTTAGCTTGAACTGTTTTTGCACAAATACATTCATAAATAATACACCACAGTTAGATATAAGGAAGGAATAGTTGATAATAATTCAAGAATGATGGAAGTAACTGGACTTCCGCTTGTATAGCGCTTTTCTAGTCTTCTGAAAATTCAAAGCACTTTAACACCGCAGGTCACACCTACACATTCACACACTGATGGCAGAGGCTGCTATGTAAAGTGACCATCAGAAGTAACTAATCCCATTCATACACATTCATATGAGAAAAGACCATCCTCTCCGTCTTTTGCCTGCTCCACTTTTCAGAAAATGTATGCTCAACAGGCTATTTGGAGATTTTCCCTTCATGACATCACAAAGGGCAGTAACCCCTCCCCCAGGTGGTTGACATTCCCATAGGTGTTTGTTCTGCCCTCTCAGTCTGCCTTCTCACCATTAACAATTCAGCACGGTACAAGAAAATCCGAGCCAACCAAGCCCTTCCAGAGAGGGGGTTGTTGTCAGACACAGCTCATTTACATTTAAAGGTACAGACACAGAAACAGCCTGTTCGGAGCGGGGCTGAAATAGAGGGGTTTATAGGCATGATCAAATACAGGATCAGAGTAGATTTATAACATTAAACTTCACAGACATGTTTTAGGAAGCTCTGAGACTTATTTAAACTGGTTAAAAAGGAGGATAATATGTGACCTTTAAATTTAGCTGTGTGAAATATGTCATCCATTTCATTCTACATATTTCTGCTGTCAGAAACTGCCTAAACGATATCAACTGCTGGATGGCACAAAACTTTCTCCAACTGAACAATTCTAAATCTGAAATCATAGTATTCAACCTGTCAAACTCCACTCATATCTCAAAGAGCAGCCTCGGTCCCTTATTCCAAGAAATCTTGGAATACATTCGATTGCAGTCTCATTTGCAGTCTCACCTTTGAATCCCATATCAAAACAGTTGTCCGATCATGCTTCTTCCATCTACGCACCATCTCCA